GGGGAAGGCCCTGTCTCTAAATGTTCTAGTAGCTGCTGCTGTGGGAAGCCACTGCTGGCAGGAGGCTCAATACCAAGGCTAGTGTGGGCATCAGGCCATCACCAGACCAACCAAAACACCTAGTTTTGGGAAAACAGGGTCCCCACAGCTTGTCATATGACATCAGCCATTTGTTCCAGGAACACAGGCCACTATTTCCACACCTGCAGTGGAGCTAAGGAATGGGGATGGGAGCTGATTTGTACCCTGTGCTTACTTGTGAAAGATCAGTGGCTTGTTTTCTCATCAGACGCTTCCCTGCTGGATGTAACTGACCGATCACTTTCCAGAGTTTCAAAATAGTTAATTCCGGTCTCTCTCCATCTTATTGGTTGCTTTGGTGGAAGGACTGACCCCCAGAGCTGCCTACTATGCCATTTTGTTTAACATCACTCCCTCTTATATTTGTACGTGTACTTATTTTTGTACTTCTTAACTAGTCCACCCTGGTGGCCTCTATTCTGTAGTTACCGCACACACATAATAGAGGGTGTAAGGTATTAAAGATGTGATAATGTTGTAAAAAGCAAGACAGTGTTGGTTTTAGAGCTAAATAGATGTGTATTTGCATCTTAACTTGCTGATTTACCATGATTAAATCTGAACCTCTGTGCATAATCTGTCAAATAAGCGTTCATAGTGATATGAGAGGGGGTATGTAAAAGTGTTAGCAACTGTAAATGCCAGTGTTGTACCAACATTCGTTGATAGCTCCTGTTTTATCATCAGTGGCTAAGCACTTAGTGCCAAACATTGTCAGATGCTTTATGTACACACTCCCAGCAATACTTCTATAAATTGAGTATTTTCTGGTTTTTTACGGAAGAGGAAACTAAAGCCTAGAGAGATTTTTAACAATTTTCTTAAAGTAAAATTAAGAGTCAGACTCAGGGCCGTCTGACTCAAGCTCTTGCTGATGGCTGTTGTTCCATACTGCCTCTTACCTATGTCACAGTGTCTGATTTTTAAGGTCTCTTACTCGTTTTTCTCCTTCAGGAGTCACATGCCATAGGAAAAAAGCCTGAAAACCCAGCAGACATGGTTGAAGAAGGGGAGCTTATCCTATCTGTGAATATCTTGTACCCCGTTATATTTCATAAGGTCAGTAGTAAAATCTTTTGAATTTTGCAGATAATATGGTTGACTTTTGTCAAAGGGTTTCATTATTTGAAGAGTCACAATCCTTAGGGCTCAAAATAAATGAAACATATGCTGCTTTATCGGACATCCTGCCTATATCCTTGGTTTCTTGTTTTAATGAGAATTATCATAAATAAGGTCAAATTTCAAATAATCTCTTAAGAGGATTACAGTTATAACACTGGAATGTATACCTAATTGCTGCACTGGAAGCAACTGAAAGTATATGCAAATCTTCAGTGATTCTAATTATATGAATTATTGAGGGAGTTGTTTTTTTAGTTTTGTGTTTTTTTTTAATTTTTGTAGTATCAGAATACAGACATTTATTAGGTTTTAGTAGTAAGCACACGAGATGTATTTGGGTAGAAAGCTGTGAAGTTTTGACTTTTTTGTGACCATAGTAGGGAAGTGAGCCAAGGACACTGGTGGAATATGACCAGGGATCTTGGCTAAGGACGATGGCGTGAGTCTCCTTTCTGATTTCTGGAGTTTTGAGTTACCTCTTTTTAATTTTCTTTCTCTATTTATTGGTTTTTAAAATTACATCCAAGTTAGGTAGCATATAGTGCCTTAATGATTTCAGTAGTAGATTCCAGTAGATTCCAGTCCCTGTGTATAACACCCAGTGCTCATCCCAACAAGTGTGTTCCTTAATGCCCCTTGCCCATTTAGCCCAGCCCCCCCCCACAACCCCTCCAGCAACCCTCAGTTTGTTCTCTAAGAGTCTCTTGTGTTCTGTCCCTCCCTTGTTTTTATATTATTTTTGCTTCCCTTCCCTTATATTCATCTGTTTTGTGTCTTAGATTCCATATATGAGTGAAGTCATATGATAATTGACTTTCTCTAATTTCGCTTAGCATAATACACTCTCATTCCATCCACCTTGTTGCAAATGGTGAGATTTCATTCTTTTTGATTTCTGAGTAATACTCCATTGTGTGTGTGTGTGTGTGTGTGTGTGTGTGTGTGTGTGTGTGTGTGTATACACACACACATCATATCTTCTTTATCCATTCATCTGTCAATGGACATTTGGGCTCTTTCCTTACTTTGGCTATTGTCAATTGCGCTGCTATAAACATTGGGGTGCATGTGCCCTTTCGAAACATCACACCTGTATCCTTTGGATAAATACCTAGTAGTGCCATTGCTGGGTCGTAGGGTAGTTCTGTTTTTAATTTTTTGAGGAACCTCCATCCTGTTTTCCAGAGTGACTGCACCAGTTTGCATTCCCACCAACAATGCAAAAGAGATCCTCTTTCTCCACATCCTGGCCAACATCTGTTGTTGTCTGAGTTGTTGATGTTAGCCCTTCTGACAGGTGTGAGGTTGTATCTCATGGTGGTTTTCATTTGTATTTCCCTGATGATGAGTGATAAGCATTTTTTCATGTGTCTGTTAGCCATCTGGATGTCTTCTTCGGAAAAGTGTCTGTTCATGTCTTTTGCCCTATCTCACAGGATTATTTGTTTTTGGGGTGTTGAGTTTGAGAAGTTCTCTATAGATTTTGGATACTGACCCTTTATCTGATAAGTCATTTGCAAATATCTTCTCTCATTCCATCTGTTGCCTTTTAGTTTTGCTGAATGTTTCCTTTGTCGTGCAGAAGATTTTTATCTTGATGAGGTCCCATTAGTTCATTTTTGCTTTTGTTTCCCTTGCCTCCAGAGATGTGTTGAGTAAGAAGTTTCTGCGGGCTAAGTCAAAGAGATTTTTGCCTGTTTTCTCCTCTAGGATTTTGATGGCTTCTTGTCTTACGTTTAGGTCTTTCATGCATTTTGTAAGAAAGTGATTCAGGTGCATTCTTCTGCGTGTCGCTGTCCAGTTTTCCCAGCACCATTTGCTGAAGAGACTGTCTTTATTCCTTTGGATATTCTGTTCTGCTTTGTCAAACATTGTGGCCGTATGTTTGTGGCTCCATTTCAGGGTTTTCTATTCTGTTCCATTGATATATATGTCTGTTTTTCTGCCAGTACCATTCTGTCTTGATGATTACAGCTTTGTAATACATCTTGAAGTCCGGAATTGTGATGCCTCCAGCTTTGGTTTTCATTTTCAGGATGGCTTTGGCTGTTTGGGGTCTTTTCTGGTTCCATACAGATTTTAGGATTGTTTGTTCTGGCTCTATGAAGAATGCTGCTGCTATTTTGATAGGGATTGCATTGACTATGTAGATTGCTTTGGGTAGTATCAACATTTTGACAGTATTTGTTCTTCCAACCCGTAGCATGGAATAATTTTCCATTTTTTTGTGTCTTCTTCAGTTTCTTTCATACACTTTCTGTAGTTTTTAGTGTATAAATTTTTCACCTCTTTGGTTTGGTGTATTTCTAGGTATTTTATGGTTTTTGGTGCAACAGTACATGGGATCGATTCCTTGATTATTTCTCTTTCTGCTACATCATTATTGGCAACCGATTTCTGTGCATTGATTTAATATCTTGCAACTTTGCTGAATTCATGGATCAGTTCTAGCAGTTTTTTTGGTGGAATCTTTTCGGTTTTCCATATAGAGTATCATGTCATCTGTGAAAAGTGAAAGTGTGACTTCCTCCTTGCCAATTTAGATGCCTTTAATTTCTTTTTGTTGTCTGATTGCTGAGGCTAGGACTTGCAATACTATGTTGAATACCAGTGGAGAGAGTGGACATCCTTGTCTTGTTCCTGACCTTAGGGGGAAAGCTCTCAGTTTTTCCCCATTGAGGATGATATCAGTGGTCTTTCGTATATGGCTTTATGATCTTGAGGTGTGATCCATCTACCCCTACCTTCTTGAGGGTTTTTATGAAGGATGTCGTGTTTTGTCAAATGCTTTCTCTGCATCTATTGAGAGGATCATGTGGCTCTTGTCCTTTCTTTTATTAATGTGAGGTATCACATTGATTTATTTGCAGATGTTGAACTAGCCCTGCATCCCAGGTGTAAATCCCACTTGATTACGGTGAATAATTCTTTTAATGTATGGTTGGATCCAGTTGGCTAGTATCTTGTTGAGAATTTTTACATCCATGTTCATCAGGGAAATTGGTCTGTAGTTCTCCTTTCTGGTGGGGTCTTTCTGGTTTTGGAATCAAGGTAATGCTGGCCTCATAGAATGAGTTTGGAAGTTTTCCTCTCATTTCTATATTTTGGAACAGCTTCAAAAGAATAGGGTTAACTCTTCATTAAATGTTTTGTAGAATTCCCCTGGAAAGCCATTTGGCCCTAGACTCTTGTTTTTTGGGGAGAATTTTGGTTACTAATTCAATTTCTTTACTGTTTATGGGTTTGTTCAAATTTTCTATTTCTTCCTGTTTCAGTTTTGGTAGTGTATATGTTTCTAGGAATTTGTTGATTTCCTCCACATTGCCCGTTTTATTGGCATATAATTGTTCATAACATTCTCTTACTATTGTTTTTATTTCTGCTGTGTTGGTTGTGATCTCTCCTCTTTCATTCTTGATTTTATTTATTTGGGTCCTTTTTCTTTTTGATCAAACTGGCTAGTGGTTTATTAATTTTGTTAATTTTTTCAAAGAACTGTCTCCTGGTTTCATTGATCTGTTCTACTGTTTTTTTCGGTTTCAGTAGAATTGGTTTCTGTTCTAATCGTTATTATTTCCTGTCCTCTGCTGGTTTGGGGTCTTACTTGCTGTGCTTTTTCCAGCTTTTTAAGTTGTAAGGTTAGGTTGTGTATCTGAGACCTTTCTTCCTTCTTTAGGAGGTCCTGGATTGCTAATATACTTCCCTTTTATGACTGGCTTTACTGCATCCCACAAGTTTTGGGCTATGGTGTTATCCTTTTCATTGGCTTCCATGTACTTTTTAATTTCCTCTTTAACTTTTTGGTTAGCCCATTCATTCTTTAGTAGGATGTTCTTTAGTCTCCAAGTATTCATTGCCTTTCCAAATTTTTTCCCGTGGTTGATTTCGAGTTTCATAGCATTGTGGTCTGAATATATGCACAGTATGATCTTGATCATTTTGCACGTGTTGAGGGTTGATTTGTGTCCCAGTATGTGGTCTGTTCTGCAGAATGTTCCATGTGCATTGGAGAAGAATGTATGTTCTGCTGCTTAGGATGAAATATTCTGAATATATCTGTTAAGTCCATTTGGTCCAGTGTGTCATTCAAAGCCATTGTTTCCTTGTTGATTTTCTGCTTAGATGATTTGTCCATTGTTGTAAGTGGGGTGTTAAAGCCCCCTACCATTACGGTATTATCGATGAGTTTCTTTTTTTCCTTTTTTTAATGTTTATTTTTGAGAGAGAGAGAGAGAGAGAGACAAAGCTTAAGCGGGGGAGGGGCAGAAAGAGAAAGAGACACGGAATCTGAAGCAGGTTCCAGGCTTTGAGCTGTCATCATAGATAGAGCCTGATGTGGGGCTCGAACTCACAAACCATGAGATCATGACCTGAGCCAAAGTTGGATGTTTAACTGCCTGCACTACCCAGGCACCCCTGAGTGAGTTTCTTTATGTTTGTGATTAATGGATTTATATATTTGGGTGTTTCACATTGGGGGCATAAATGTTTACAATTATTAGTTCTTCTTGGTGGGTAGACTCCTTAATTATGATACAGTATCCTTCATGTCTTGTTACATTCTTTATTTTAAAATCTAGGTTGTCTCATATAAGTGTGGCTACTCCCACTTTCTTTGGTGACCATTAGCATGATAGATGGTTCTTCAACCCCTTACTTCCAATCTGAAGGTGTTGTTAGGTCTAAAGTGAGTCTCTTGTTAACAGCACATAGATGGATTTTGTTTTCTTATCCATTCTGTTACCCTGTGCCGTTTGATTGGAGTGTTTAGTCCATTGACATTTAGATTGAATATTGAAAAATCTGAATTTATTGCCATTGTGTTGCCTGTAGAGTTGGAGTTTCTGGTGGTGTTCTCTGGTCCTTTCTAGTCTTTGTTGCTTTTGGTCTTTTTTGTTATTTCTTTTCTCCCCTCAGAGAGTCCCCCTTAGAATTCCTTGCAGGGCTGGGTTAGTGGTCACGAACTCCTTAACTTTTTGTTTGTCTGGGGAACACTTTTATCTCTCCTTCTATTTTGAATGACTGGCTTGCTGGATAAAGAATTCTTTGCTGCATATTTTTCTGATTCAGCACATTGAATATATCCTTTCACTCTTTTCTGGCCTGCCAAGATTCTGTGGATAGGTCTGCTGCGAACCTGATCTGTCCTCCCTTGTAGGTGAAGGACTTTTTTTCCCTTGCTGCTTTCATAATTCTTTCCTTATCTGTGTATTTTGTGAATTTGACTATGATATGCCTTGTTGATGGTCAGTTTTTGTTGAATCTAATGGAAGTTCTCTGTTCCCAGGTTAGGAAAGTTTTCTGCTATGATTTGCTCACCTAAACCTCCTATCCCTTTTTCTCTTTCTTCATCTTTTGGGACTCCTATGATTCCGATGTTACTCCTTTTTAGTGAGTCACTGAGTTCTCTGATTCTTATCTTGTGCTCTTTAGCCTTAGTTTTCCTTTTTTTTCCTTCTTCATTATTATCTGTAATTCTACTGATTGGCTGATTTGCTGCTGTGCTTCATTCATCCCTGCCGCTGTGGTATCCATTCAAGATCACATCTCAATTATAGCGTTTTTAATTTCACTCTGACTAGATTTTACTTCTTTTATCTCTGTAGAAAGGAATTGTTTTTTTCAACCTCAGCTGGTATTCTCATTATCGTGATTCTAAATTCTAGTTCAGACTCTTGCTTATATCTGTGTTGAGTAAGTCTCTGGCTGTCTTTCCTTCCTGTTCTTTCTTTTGGGGTGAGTTCCTTCATTTTGTCATTTTGGAGGAAGAAAAAGTTAATGAAATAAAAATATTAAAAACAACACAAAAAATCAAATAAAGGAAGCTAGATCCTAGGTATGTTTTCATCTGCTTGTTGAAAGAAGCTTGAGTGAATAGAGAAAAAAGGGAAATAAGAGAAACGAAAAAGTGAGAAAATGTTTCAAAATTAAAAATAAATAAAATAGAATAAAATGAATTGAAGGTAAAGTAGAATAGAAAAGTAAATTAAAAAATAAATATAGTAGAAAAAAATTTTAATTTCACATAAAAATGGAAAATAAAAACTTTTTCTGTATCCCAGAATAAGAAGTCAAAAAAAGAAATTACAAATACCAAACCAATACACCAAAAAAACACAAATAGATGGACCAATGAACAGAATGAAATTACTACATCTAGTTTCCCTTAGAGGTCAAACTATGAACCACTTTATAATCCATACACTAAGCAGGAGGAGAGTCCTGTGGTTGTCCTTTTGGGCTTGGTTAACGGCTCCGTTCTCCACTAGGTGGTGCTGCTTAGCTTGCTGGGGTGGATCGTTGTGGCGCATATACGAATGTATGTGCTTGCGCGGGAGAGGTGAAATGGAATGCCCAGCTTCCCAGTTTCTGACTCAGGAACTCTGTGCTCTCACCAACTGGCAGTTAAGCACCCCTCCTTTGTCTCCAGCCTCTGTCCACTCCCTGCTTCTACACTATCTGTGTCCAAGCTGTCAGCCTTGCAGGTGGCACCTTCCTCCCAAATTTTATCTCCAATAGGGCTGTTTCCAAACCCCTCCCTCTGAGAGCCCTGCGGCTTGGACCGGCAGGTACTCCGGTCCTCTACGACCCTCTAGAGGAGGATCTCATGGAGCAATGGCCAGGTGCCGGCCCACCCCTCAGGAACATTCACACAAGCACGCTGCTACAGATGCCCAGAGACTGTGGCCAGGTGCCAGCCCGCCCCAGAAAAATTCCTCATGATTGTATAGCAGCAGCATTTCAGGGATTACGGTAAATCACAACACATCACCAGCGCCAGGTTTCACCACACCCTGGCATCTTTGTTCCAGTGTCAGCAATTATGCTCTCTGGGGTCCCCTGGGACCTTTGCCTGTGGGGAGGCCGGAGACCTCTGCCAAATGCCCTCCTCGCAGGGAAACTGCTTCTGCCTGTGTGGCCTAAGGACCCCTCTGACTTTTCTGCCTGCTCCTGAGGATTCACCCTTCCCACCAGAGCACCACCAAGTAATGGGCTGCGAGATTTCTGATGCTGTCCTCCCTTGTTTTTGAGTCCTGATGGAATTGAAACCGTCTCCTTTCTCCTCTCTCCCTTTCTTGTTAAGTCAGTTGTGGGTGTTGCCACTCTTTCTCTCCAGCTACATTCTGGGAGAGTGTATCTCCTGGACTCTTCCCCCTTTCTCTGTTCTCCACAAATATAGCTCCCTGCCCTCTGTGGCTTCTCTCTGCCCCACTTCACGTCTCTATGCCGTGTACCTGCCGAGTTCTGTGGCTCAAGTTATGCAGATTGTTGTGTTAATCCTCAGATCAGTTTTCTAGGTGTGCAAAATGGTTTGGTGCTGATCTAGCTGCATTTGAGGGATGAGAGAAGCAGAGAACTTCCATGCTGCTCTGCCACCTTGACCTCTCCCCTCAGAGTGTGTGTATTCTGGATTCCCAAAATAGATGAGTCATACACTTTGATAAGGTTTGCTTGCAATATTACTATACATGAGTTGTACTTTTGAATGAATAGTTACTAATGAAGCATCTGGGATATAGTTAGTACTAATTACCTTGTTTGATTAGGTTCTGAAGTTACCAATCAAACCAAACCAATAAGCCTGAACCTCTGGGGTCTGTAACATGAGAGTATAAAGATTGCTTGACTTCAGTGAGGTAACTTCCAGGATATTTTAAAACACAGTGCTGCTAGATGAAGTTATATGCCAGAGGTTCTTCTTGCTAATGTCATTTTAATAGCCTTTTGATTATAACTTTACCTTAAACTAAAAAAGTTCATTGCCAAGTGTCTTAGTCCCTTTTGGCTCCTTTAACAAAATATCACTTACTGAGTGGCTTATAAAGAGCAACTTATCTATCACAGTTCTGGGGCCAGCATGGTCAGGTGAGAGCCCTCATCCAGGTCTCAGACTTCTCATGTGGCGGAAGGGGCTCGGGAGCTCTGTGGGATCTTTTATAAGAGCACTAATTCCATTCATGAGGGCTTAACCTTCATGACCTGATCACTCCCCAAAGACCTAGCCTCCTAACACTATCACTTGGGCGTTAGGATTCCAGCACCTGAATTGGGGGCGGACACAAACATTCAGACCTTTCACCAGATGTCTCAATCGTGCCCTTGCGATTTTAACTTACGGACGTGACTGAGTGACCACACTGGAGGCCAATGCCATTGAAAGGAGACTTTTATTACTTACATTTCTTGAGAGGAGCGAGTATGCCAAGATGCAGGGCCACAGGGGGAAGCACCAGTGAATTCAGGAGGCAGAAGGAGTGGGGAGAAGCCAGAGGTGACAGCCTTTATTAAGGTTTCCATGGGAAAGGCTGGGCAGGGCAGGGCAAACAGTTTGGGATTGGCTAGTTTGGATAATTCTGGTGGGCTCTGGGGTGCAGGGGCTATCCCTAGTTGTCCGCTCCCTGACCTTACATTGATTTAGGATGGGAAATACTGGCTTGGTGTGTGAGGGTTAAACCAAGGAGGTGGTTTCAGAGAACAGGGTGTGAATCACAGGGGAGAGGTAAACAATTGTGGCCATTAGTTGGGACCTGTGATTAATGGGTTCCAAATAGGCCAGTACAGAAACCGAGAGAACACAGAACACTAAGTTATGAGGATAACTTTAAGAAAACCAGTAACTTCATTGAGATCTGGTCAGGACAGGATTTATTGTTTAATTGCTTTGTCTCTAAGTGGACACTTACTTATCTACCATTTGACTTTCAGCACAAAGAACACAAACCATACCAGACGATGCTGGTATTGGGCAGTCAAAAGCTCACGGAACTGAGGGATTCAATTTGTTGTGTCAGTGACCTCCAGATTGGTGGCGAATTCAGCAACACTCCTGATCAAGCTCCAGAGCACATAAGCAAAGTAAGATGGTTTTTGTTGTTTTTTAACCCTTATAAAATAAGAAGAAATCATCATCATCATCATCATCATCTAAGTAAGTAGTGATATTACAAGGCTGCTAGTAAATCTTCCAGTAGATGCTTTCTTCTCTGCCACTCCATCAAGCCTATCTCTTCCCTTCTTTATCTTCAATGAGACTATGCTCAATTTTGATTTCCTTATCTCCCCTTCAGCTCCCCTTCAGCCATTCAGTATACACCCTTCCTTTTAAGGCCGCAGGGACCACCTGTTGTCTAACCTCTTCTCCATGTTCATACAACTTTTCCTCACTGTGCCGGTTGAATTCACTGTTCACTGTTTCCTCTTTCAAACTCTGAATTTCAGTCTGTCATAACTGCCCCCCACCACCTGAGAGCCCCATCGGCCATAGAAGGTTCTGTCAGTCCAAGCACCGGCACCAAGCAGGGATATAGATACCAACTGATGTTGGTCTTTGTCGGTGTTTCCCACGGAGGTGCTCTCAAAAGGACAGAGAAACTCTACATAACCCATTGGGTAAGGATGGAAAGGGTCAAAGTGGTAGACCAGCCACCCACAAAGTTTCAGAAGGGATTGTTTGGCCAGTAAAGTAGTAGGTCCTTGTGAATTCCATTGGCGGGCAGACTTGAACTCCTTCTGTTACTTGGTACAGCTCTGGTAGAAGCCCTCAGGTTTACTGGCCCCCTTGAAAGGGGCAGCATCTCCTGTAGGTCAGAAAAAGATATTTGGGTCAACTAGAACGGACATGGAGTTTGGACACGAACCATCATAATCACTATTTTTGCTGGTTCCTGTGCCACCAGCCAGATAAATGTTGTTATAACCCAGGTTTCATCTTGGTTCTTCTAAATTCTCCTGGTCTTTCCCCAGTTTTCATGGTTTTAAGTGGACTCTTACCTTTGTTAGTGTCTCTCTCTTCTAGCCATGTTCTCTCCTGATTTCCAAATCGTTTCTTTTATTTTTATTTTTCTTTTCTTTTATTTTATCATTTCACTTCATTTGATTTCATCTCAGACCATTATTTTAATTGCCTCCTGGACATTTCCACTTAGCCTCACTGCTGCCTGGCATTGTATTGCATTTCTGTAGCGACTCACTCTACCGCCTTTTAGGAGAATTGTTTCTTTCATTCTGAAACTGCTGGCATCTTTTCCTCATGACTTACCGTCAGCTGAAACCCTTGCTGTTTGTTTCACTGAGAAAATAAAGTTACCAGAAAGGCATTTTCCATCACCCCTCACCTGCATTTACCCCTCTACCCGTCTGCCCGTGAGCCCTGCCTTCCCACCTGTGACGGTGGCTGGACTAAGCCTGCCGCTCCCTGCACTGGGATTCCATGTCCTCCAGCTGCTTGCCGTCACGCCATGGTTGTGCCATCCTGGCATCTCCCCCATCATTACAAGTGTGCCGTCGGATCTCCCGTCCAAACCCTCTTCTTGACCGTGCAGCTCCCTCTAGCCACCACCTCATCTTTCTACTTCCTTCTCAGCACACTGACTCATAGCAGGTAGTAATAATGAGTTAGTAATCGTACCTAAATTCATTGTTTTCTCTTTTTCTGCCACCACTTTGGCTTGCACTCACTTTTGTTCCCTACCAGTCCTCAAAAATCACTTTTACTGATGTCACCGGAGACTTTGTTCTCACCTTTTTTGACAGCTCATCGACATAAGACACAACCGAATAGTCCTTCTTCCTTGCCACATTTTCTTTACTTAGATTTTAGGATATTATATGCATTTGATTTTCCTTCTTTCTTTCTTTTTTAATATTTATTTGTTTATGAGAGAGAGCACCCAGGCATGGGAGGGGCAAAGAGCGGGGGACAGAGGATCCGAAGCAGGCTCTCCGCTGACAGGGGACAGCCAGCTGCAGGGCTTGAACTTCTGAATGGTGAAATCATGACCGGAGCTGAAGTCGGACATTCAACCGACCGATCCACCCAGGTGCCCCCAAACTCACTACATAAAATTTTTCCTGACCGTCCCTCTCTTGGGCACTCCGGCACCATTTCTTTTGGCCGTATGGTGCCTAGAATTATAGGCTGACGCTGTTTGATTTCTCTCTGCCCCACAAGGCTGCTGTGTCCCAGTCTTTTCAGTGATTGGCAAGGAGACCAGCATCGTGACTCACACGCAGATCTCACTTAAATTTAGTCACGTTGAAAATGGGTTTAAGATCATTGGTTTCTTCACATTTGACATCTTGGTGCCCTTGGAAGTAAACATTAAAGAGAAACAGGTTGAAGTTCCAGGCTGTGTGCAGAGCAGAAGTCTCTTGTAGGGTTTTCTCAACCCTACCAAAAAAGCCCCAAAAAACAGAACCAAAAAAACCCCAAAACAGGTGGAACTGTAGTTTGTAAGTTTAATAAGCAAAATCTGAATTTATTCTCCTTGCAACCGTGTCGTCAGTGCTCAAAGGAGCTCAAGTCCAATATGCGAATTCGTTTTAGCTCCAGGAACCCCAGAGAGTGTTTTTAACCAGCCTTGGCTCGTTTGTCGTGTTTGTCCATCAGGGCTGATGTCTTTCCAGCTCTTTCCAAGTGGGGAGGCCCGCTGACCCATAGTCCTCTTTTAAATATTTTCCAGCTATGCTTTGGAAAGTGACCTCAAAAATAAGTGAAATTTTGCAGATACTAACATTTGGCCCGTGGAAAGATTTTTAGGTCACCAGTTGGCATTTATGTTTTATGGTTTGGGATTTTTTTAAGTTTTGCTTTGGAATTTTTTTTTCTATTTATGTGAGTCCTCTTTCTTCTTTCTTTTTACTTTTTTTTTTTTTTTTTTGATGTTTATTATTTTTGAGAGAGAGAGAGACAGCAAGCAGGGAAGAGTCAGAGAGAGAGGGAGACACAGAATCAAAAGCAGGCTCCAGGCTCCGAACTGTTAGTGCAGAGCCCGATGTGGGGCTCAAACTCACAGACCACAGGATCACGACCTGAGCTATAGTCGGCTGCCCAACCGACTGAGCCACCCAGGCGCCCCGAGTCCTCTTTTTTCTTGAGTAGTCTGGTGGCTTGGAAAATTCTGAACATGCTCACAGGAAATGTTACGATGAGTCCTAATGTACCCATTACCCACCCTCACCAGTTCTCAGCATTTTGTCAGATTATTTTCTCTGTTCACCTCATGCCTTTGTCCCACCTGACAACATTGAAAATTGGTCCTTCAGTTATAATCCTCTTTTTGACAGCTATTTGGCATGTATTCCACTGGTGATTGTAGAAGAAAAAATCAGTGAGTGGCAGTTCTTGTAGTCGAGGAAAGGAGAATCTTTATTCCAACCAATAAGCAAGAATTTTGAACATTATCTTAGGTGGCTTAGTATGTGAGAAGTCTGGGAGAATTGGGCCAGGATATTTAAATCTCTTTTAAAAGCATATGTCTAGGGGCGCCTGGGTGGCGCAGTCGGTTAAGCGTCCGACTTCAGCCAGGTCACGATCTCGTGGTCTGTGAATTCGAGCCCCGCGTCGGGCTCTGGGCTGATGGCTCAGAGCCTGGAGCCTGTTTCCGATTCTGTGTCTCCCTCTCTCTCTGCCCCTCCCCCGTTCATGCTCTGTCTCTCTCTGTCCCAAAAAATAAATAAACGTTGAAAAAAAAATAAAAAAAAAAAAGCATATGTCTAAAACGTAGTATGTTTTGCTATAACATTTGTTTCTGGACTATAGTAGTTAAATAATGGAGTGCATTTTAAAAATGTATGTATATGATTAGTGCCAGTATTTTCTACTCAAGTGTTTTTTTTTTTTTTTGTTTTTTTTTTTTTAGTGTTTATTTTTGAGAGAGAGACTGAGCACAAGCAGGGGAGGGGCAGAGAGAGAGACACACACAGAATCCGAAGCAGGCTCCATGCTCTGAGCTGTCAGCACAGAGCCTGATGCGATTCGGGACTCGAATTCACAAACCACAAGATCATGACCTGAGCTGATGTCAGACGCTTCACCGACTGAGTCACCCAGGCGCCCCGAGTGTCTTTTGTTTTTTTTCTTTAATGGTCCTTCACATTTTAATCTCTGGTCTATTGATTTTTTTTTTTTTTTTACATTGCTCAGATTAGTTCTTTTTTTTCTTTTTGTTGGTAATCTCTTAAAGGTCTTGCGTAGAGGAAGTTTAAGAAAATACTTTGCACACCTGTTTCTCTGTTATGTATTGTAAATAAAGCCCTGTTCTAGGACACAGAGTAACAAATCTAAGTCGCAACAATTTCCTTACCCATAGTTCTTCCGCACCTTCCTCCCGTTACCATTTCTCTGACAGCAGATCCTAGGATTATTTCTGAAATTCTAATATAGCTGATTTGAATGTTAGCAAGAGAACAAGTGACTAATGGATGCCTAGAAGGCTATATAAATGACTTTGTTCCGATGATACTAGTTGTCGACAGTGACGTTGTTTCTAAAATGGAAACGGTAACAGTAGACTCTTAGGCTACATTAGAAGATAACAGAAGTAACTTCTCACACTAGCTTTTCCTTGTTGGTTGGTGATCCTCCCTCCCCAAAGTTGGTCAGCTAAATTAACTGGCAGAATAGGGGGACTGTTTAGTGAGGGTCTCTGGTTACCACTGAAAATGAAAATTACCTGGTAATGAGATTGCTAACATCTATTCTATTTGTATGCTGGGACAAGGAAAGGTTATTAATGGATGAATTAATTTAGAATTCAGATGGAAAACATTTTTGGTCTTGTAGAGTTGCCCTTCTGAAAGATCATAATGGTGCCAACCACAAGCCTTGAGTTGCCTAAATTGCCTAAAATGAAGTTCTGTAGAGGCGTTTTGTAATGAAAAAAAGTAAACTTTTGTGTTTGTTCCCCAAATAAGGCAGTATTCTTTCAGACCCTTTATTTGGGACCCTAGCTTACCTCTTTGAGTGTTCAGAAGTATATTTAGTGGCAGTTTAAAATTTTTTTTTTTTTCAACGTTTATTTATTTTTGGGACAGAGAGAGACAAAGCATGAACGGGGGAGGGGCAGAGAGAGAGGGAGACACAGAATCGGAAACAGGCTCCAGGCTCCGAGCCATCAGCCCAGAGCCCGACGCGGGGCTCGAACTCACGGACCGCGAGATCGTGACCTGGCTGAAGTCGGACGCTTAACCGACTGCGCCACCCAGGCGCCCCTTAGTGGCAGTTTATATGTTAACAGCAGCTACATATGGCACTCTAGTCCATATTATCCTTTTGTCTCTACAAGCACCTGGGAAGGAGGTACTGGTTTTACTCACATGTTACATGAGGAAACAGGGGGTCAGGGACACTTAGTGAGGGTCTGAGGAGAAACAGCACGGCCAGTCTTGTAAGGGTGTCTGATGCTGTTACCAGATAATTTATAAATAGGGGAGTGAAGAAAGAAAAATAGAAGCTTCAGGGGCGCCCGGGTGGCTCAGTCGGTTAAGGGTCTGACTTTAACTCAGGTCATGATCTCCCGGTTCGTGGGTTCAAGCCCCACGTCCTGCTCTCTGCCGTCAGCACACAGCCCACTCCGGATCCTCCGTCTCCCTCTGTCTCTGCCCCTGCCCCGCTTGTGCTCGCTCTCAAAAATAAACAAACATCAAGAAAAAGAAAAGAAAGATAGAAGCTTCCAAGGAGGAGATAAATTTGGCTTTCTTTAGAGTAAGATTTAATACCCGAAACTTACATGTTTTTATAGTTCATAAACTGTTCTGGAGTCCTGGAAGATAGCATGGCAGATGTGGTCATTATAGGTGAGGAAACTTCGGTCTGAAGAGTATATATAAACTAAGAAAAAGAACCCCCCTCCCCCAGGGGTCTGATGTATTCTAAGGACATTGTGAAGAGTGAGTCTAACATACAGAATCTCCTGGGGAGCTCGGGAAAACAGTGGTGCCCGGGTGAGTCTCATTTAACAGCTCTGAGGGGAGACTTGGGCTCTGGTGTTTCTGTGACTCTGTTGTGCAGCAAGAGACACCTGTCTGGAAAGTTGCTGGACGGAAGGTTAAGAAACCTCAGGGTTCAGACCAGCTGTGTGACTACAGCGGTACTTTGGGGCAAGATTGCTTGAGTAAGAATAGATACTCAAATTCTGCCTAAGAATTACTGAAAATTTGAAGGGAGAATTTTTATAAAAGAATGCTGAAAATATTAAAAAATAACAGAAAGACATAACTCTCTGATTGATCACTGTTATCATAGCTGGGGAAATACCAAAAACGTGACTTCCAGTTTTTAATAATTCTAGAATCCGAAATAAATCCCTGCTGTGTATGCATATAATAAGATAATATTAAAGTTTATTTCTAACTGGGTTCCTTTCATAAATCTCATGATATCTTTACGCTTTTATCCCTGGTAAGTAGCATAATACTTGTCACATAGGAGATTCTCATTAAATATTAAACTAATGAGCTAAGCATATTTTGTGCAGTTGCCTAAAGTTACTGTAAAGCACATTAATAGGTGTGATTTTATGACATACATTTTGAATTGTAGCGATTCGTAATTGTTAATAGTGGACTTTCTTTTAATACCATCTCGTTTCTTATAGGACCTGTACAAATCAGCCTTCTTTTATTTTGAAGGAACATTTTATAATGATAAGAGATACCCTGAGTGCAGAGATTTGAGCAGGTACAGTCTTCAAAAAGCTTCTGTCTTTCCTGTTTCTAGTTCTCAAAATGGTGAGAGCTCCACAAACTGGTCTGTTAGGGACCTTTGCCAAGGAATTGTTTTGTTAGACTGTTTTGTTTGTTTTGGGGTCAAAAATATCTCTGTTTCTTTTGTTTGTTTGTTTGTTTTTGAGGGAGAGAATTAGCGTGCACACAAGCAGGAGAAGGCCAGAGAAAAAGAGAGTCTTTTTTTTTTTTAACTTAAAAAAAGAACTTTTATGTATTTTGGGAGAGAGAGCATGAGCATGGTCGAGGTGGAGAATGAGGGAGAGAATCCCAAGCAGGCTTCGTGCAGTCAGCACTGAGCCCCACGCGGGGCCCGAACTCACAAACCATGAGATTATGACCTGAGCCGAAATCAAGAGTTGGACACTCAACCGACTGAGCCACCCAGGTGCCCCATGATTTGCTATAATTTCTAAGACAGTAGATAACACAAAGATTTTGAAGTGATCTATGCATACCTTTGGTCAGAAAAGTTTCTTTCTGAAGAAAAATTTTAACTTACCAGTACCTAGGGCAAGCACATGAAATAACTGAATACATTTTAACAACAGAGAGTGGCCCCTGGGTGGTTCATTTGGTTGAGTGTCCAGCTCTTGATTTCAGCTTGACTCAGGATCCCAGGGTCTTGGGATCAAGCCCCACACCTGGCTCCTACTGGGCCTGGAGGCTGCTTAAGAATTGGCGCCTGGGTGGCTCAGTCAAGCGTCCAACTCTTGATTTTGGCTCAAGTCATGATTTTACAGTTTGTGAGTTTGGGCCCCACATCGGGCTCAGTGCGGACAATGAGGAGCCTGCTTGGGCTTCTGTCTCTCTCTCTCTGCCCCTCCCCTGCTTGTGCTCTCCTCTGTCTCACTCACAATGAATAAACTTTAAAAAAAAAAAAAAAGCCAATTTACAGCAAATCTTGTATTAAGCCATAGATAAATCTAAAAAAAAAAAAATGTAAATCCCACTTAAAGAATTTATTAGTCTCTTTCATATTTAGATGATAGCAGTAAATTAATCGTTCACTATTTTTTCTGCTTGTCCAGCGTATACTGTTGTTTGCCCGATGGGAGTATGTAAATCCATGGTTAAGTACATAATATGAAAAATCTGTAGCTAATGACCATGTTAATTAGGCCATACTTCTGTTGTCAGTGTCCCAGTGACTAGAGTACATATGTGTATTTTTTTCTTGAGTGTTTATCTGCATTCTTTCATTAGAGCAACTTGTGTGTGTATTCTAATGTGGTGGTTCTCAGACTTGTTCTCAGCATTCCTCACTACTCTAAATACTTGTGGACTCCAAAGAGCTTTTGATTATGTGGGCTATAGCTATCCATGTTTACCGTATTCGAGGTTGCAACTAAGAAATAATTTAAATATCCGCTAATTTAAATGATTCCATTAAATGTTAACAATAATTTGGCGGGGGAAATAACTTTTCCACAACAAAATGAGAGGAGTGGCATTCTCCATTTCCCATTCAGTAGCTTCTGGCCTATCGGTCCTTTATGAGTGAATAGGAATTGAAAAGGGCAAATGACATTTTTTCATAAAGATAATTTTGACCTCAGGAAGCACACTTTGAGAACTGTTGCTCTAATGGATACAGAAGGAGTCAGAGTTCTTTTTTTATTTTTATTAAAAAAATTTTAACATTTATTTATTTTTTTTTTTTTTAAATTTTTTTTTTCAACGTTTATTTATTTTTGGGATAGAGAGAGACAGAGCATGAACGGGGGAGGGGCAGAGAGAGAGGGAGACACAGAATCGGAAACAGGCTCCAGGCTCTGAGCCATCAGCCCAGAGCCCGACGCGGGGCTCGAACTCACGGACCGCGAGATCGTGACCTGGCTGAAGTCGGACGCTTAACCGACTGCGCCACCCAGGCGCCTCCTAACATTTATTTTAGAGCGCACGAGCCGAGAAGGGGCAGAGAGAAAGGGAGACTGAGTCCGAAGCAGGCTCCAGGCTCTGAGCTATCAGCACAGAGCCTGATGTGGGGCTTGAACCCCCGAACTGTAAGATCATGCCCTGAGTTAAAGTCCGGCGCTTAGCCGACTGAGCCACCCAGGCGCCCCTGTTTTTATTTTTAAAATTTTTTAAAAATATTTTTGAAAGAGAGACAGAGACAGCGCAATCGGAGGAGGGGCGGAGAGAGAGGGAGACACAGAATCCCAGGCAGGCTCCAGGCTCTGCGCTAAGAGCCCGATGTGGGGCTCGAACCCACAAGCCGTGAGATCATGACCTGAACCCAAGCCGGACACTTAACTGAGTGAGCCACCCAGGCGCCCCAAGAATCCAGAGTTCTTAATTTCAACATGTATCAACCACTAAGATTTTTGCCTCAAGACGGCAACTGTCGTTGAGTGAGTGAGCCAGGTTTTAAGAAATAGTTGCGGTCATAGAGCATTTTCTGTCATTTCTAGGTTTTTGAGGAGTAATGAAATACCGTTGCCTTTTTGCCCCCTTCAGAACTATCATTGAGTGGTCAGAGTCCCATGATAGAGGCTATGGAAAATTTCAGACCGCTAAAATGGAAGATTTTACCTTCAATGACTTGTATATTAAACTGGGTTTTCCTTACTTATATTGTCACCAGGGAGACTGTGAGCATGTTGTCGTCATCACTGACATAAGGTAAGTGGCAGCATTTGGCAGCATTTTCTGTTTTTGTTTTTAACGCGAGGAATAAAATTAGTCACCGCAGCCTGGCTTGGGAGCAGCAAAACTGTCCACTTTCCATAGAATGACCATCCATTTGCACACTTTCTTTTGGGAAGATCTGTGATAAATACTTTACTGGTTATCGGAGGGTTGAAGGTCTGTAAAGAAGTGTCTCCTTTGGAGGATTAGACAGGCAGTCTCCACCCACTTTGTACGTAGCCCCTTAGCTTATTGCCAGATTTGCAACTACGTCTAAGTTGCTTGTCTCTTTGCCAGAATTTTTAAGATTTTTTTTTTTAATTTTTTTTTTTCAACGTTTTTTATTTATTTTTGGGACAGAGAGAGACAGAGCATGAACGGGGGAGGGGCAGAGAGAGAGGGAGACACAGAATCGGAAACAGGCTCCAGGCTCCGAGCCATCAGCCCAGAGCCCGACGCGGGGCTCGAACTCACGGACCGCGAGATCGTGACCTGGCTGAAGTCGGACGCTTAACCGACTGCGCCACCTAGGCGCCCCCAGAATTTTAAGATTTAAAAGCAACTGGGGGAAGGGAAGAGTAATTCTCATCTTTGACAAATGTGAAGTCTTAATGCTTTCATAAGTATAAAGGGGGAAGGACCAAAGTGGTTTAAAATCAGATTCCTTTTATTTTAAAATGAGCTAACTTTTGTGTAGCTGGCATCTCTCATGAATAAGGCCAGTCATCTCCTTATTTCGGAATCTCAGCGTATGAAGGATCAACATATAGGAATAAGCCCTGCTCTCTCCCTGCTTTGGTTCCGAGGGACTGTTTTTATGTTTTATGCAAAGCACTGATCTACCCGTGCTTTTTATTATACCGGTGGTAGGAACCGATGCCCGGACAAATCCCTGTGTCCACTTCTCTTGGGTCTTAGGGACCGGTCTCTCCGAACATCTGGCCTCCCATGCAGTCATTCTCAGGAAGCTCCCAGAGGAAGTACTTGACACAAAGAGTAAACCTTGGAATAGGGGGAGACATGAGGAGGACTCTCGGAGCCAGGAAAGGGAAATCCCAGCACGATGGCCGCGTAGCCGAGCTCGCGAGCAGCTTAGTCCCAAGACTGGGGCGCGGCCGAGAGCTCGGGAAGCACGTCTAGAAGTGCCAGACCTCCCGCTGACGCACAGCACACGTGGAGAGCACGTCTGTCCTTCTGTCAGGAAATACAGAACTGAATTAGCGACAGGTGCATCGAAACCTCATTAAGCAAATGCAAACACGAGGGCATTAGCAGCTAGAAAGCCACGTGTTACACGATAAAAGGCGCCTACGGTCAGTTGTGTGGTTTAGGTGTAAGTATTAGTTTGGCAGCATGTGAACATGCAATATTTTACCAGAATTAGTCTGGTTCCTTAGAGGAATGTCGAGGACCTAAATTTAAAAGAAACCGTTAAGAATGCAAAAACAGTTGCCCTGAGGGAAAAAGAATTGCTCAAGCCAGAGCCAGGAGAGCTCATAACCCTCAGCTTTATAGGCCTTGAAATTATGTACGTTTCTTTGATAATGTGTTAAATTTTACAGAAGCTGTCACTCAAATGAAGGGGAATGTGCCTGAGAATTAGCATAAGATGGGTGACAATCCAGTTTTTTATGATTTTAGTTTTATGGGTGTTTTTAAGTTTATTTATTTTGAGAGAGAGCACAAGCAGGGAAGGGCAGAGAGGGAGAGAGAGAACTCCAAGCAGGCCCCACACTGTCAGTGCGGAGCCGATGAGGGGCTCGAACTCATTGACTGCAAGATCATGACTTGAGCCGAAATCGGGAATCAGACGCTTAGCCGACTGAGCCGCCCAGGCCCATTTTACATTTCTTACTGAACAGCGAGCGTTACCAGTCCTTACACTCGAGGCAACTTGGGGAAACAGTTGACACTTACTAAGCATTTACAGCATGGGACTTTTCTAAGGAGTTAAAAATAAATTTTTTTAAGATTTAAAGTTTTTTAACTGTCTTTTAAAAGATTTTATTTTTTATTTTAGAGAGAACATGTGCACAAGTAGGTGAGAGGGGCAGAAGGAGAATCTTTTCTCTCTTTAAATTTATTTTGAGAGCAAGTGAGCACAAGCAGGGGAAAAAGATAGAAGCAGAGGGAGAGAGAATCCCAAGCAGGCTCCTTGCCCAACGTGGAGCCCGATGCGGGGCTCAATCTCAATAACTGCGAGATCAGGAACTGAGCTGATAACCAAATTTGGATGCGCGACAGACTAAGTCCCCCAGGTCCCCCAAGGTTGTATTTTTAAGTAATCCCTACACCCAACATGGGGCCTGAACCCACACACCCGAGGCCAAGAGTCATTTGCTCTGCCGACAGAGCAGCCAGGTGCCCCTTTTAAGGAACTTCTAGGTGTAGTTTTAGGCTACAAATCATTTTTACCTTCTAGGTGGATTAAAGTCTAAGACTTGGTAAACGGTTACAAGTGTATTAACCATTTGCTGAGGGTAAAGTTGATATATTGCTACCCTTTCTTACTAAAGGAAAATCATTACATTTTAGAATTGTCAGGGACATTCAGAATACTCTGGTGCAGTCCCTTCATTTTTGGGGTAGAGAATCTGAGGTCCAGCATGGTTCAGGGACTTATTCAAACCCAGTCATCCGATCAATGGCGTAGTTGAGAGTGCCTTCCGTTTTCAGTTTACTTAATGCTGACACCTAAAACTGAAGTCCTGTCAGCTCACATTATACCAGGAGTCAGATTTAGATTTTAATAAAGAGGACAGTAAACAGAGCCACGTACCACAGAACCAAGTGGGTAAAACAGTTGCCCAAACTATGTTTCATAAAAAGGTATTGAGTAAAGCAGGGGCTCTCTGATGGAATACCTTTAAGATATGCTCCCTCTTAGTTCAAGCATATCCCCATAAAGAGCTTTGGGAAGTTTCACAGGAAAGAAAACATTGTTTAATCCAAAATGATCTTTCGGAGAATGTTTTTGTGGAACGGTTTGGTCAGACCTAGTGAAACGAGTTTACACCTAAATCTTTTGGAAAAAAAAAAATGAAAAATATACCTACTATGTTAATGTTGAGGTACAGATACATTTAATTCTTTACAGATCACACCAATTTGCATTTTAATATCTTCATTTACTCCTCATGTACACAAGGCTTGTGCATCGTGATGACTGCTTGGATAGGACCCTTTATCCCCTTCTTATCAAGAAGCATTGGTTATGGACCAGAAAATGTTTTGTTTGTAAAATGTACACAGCCAGGTAAGTTCATAATTATTTGAGAATTCCTGGTTTTCAGTAGTCAAGTACTTTCCATTTCTAGTATTTCAGTTTTTCCTATTTTGAATTTGAATCTAGGGACTTCTACTTTGGAGGTATAAATAGAAATGGTTTTATCTGGTAGGTTAAGTGCTGCAAAGTAGGTTACAACATTTTTAAACAGTAAGGAAACAAATAATATGTAATGAAAGTCCAGGGGTGGGTCAGACTTTGGATGAATCAATTCTGTGTCATCAGGGAGCCACGCTGTGTCTTGTGTCTGCAATTTACAAAAGAAGCTTCATCCACAGCTTCTCCTCCATGAAAAAATAACACAGCGTCTCATGTATATAATGAGGTTAAAATACGGTTTCGTAAAATTTTTACTCTGTGGTACTTCACATTTAGTTTGCTTTTTAACTGTGGATCATAGTTGGAAAGAAGCATTCAGAAGAAAAGAGAGTAACTGCGTATCGTAGATTTCTTTTGGGCTCCCTGCCCCCACCGAAATATGCTTTTCTAAATGATCAATAAGAAAACATGAGATAAATCAGTTACCAAACTGGCAATCAGGGAATGTAAAAACATACCAGGAGATGCAGAATTCAAATAGACTGAAAAAGTCTTTTCATCTCACTGTGACCAGTAACATTTCAGGCCAAAAAACAAAGTATCAGTTGAATATTACCCATATTCCCATTTGTATACACACTGTAACATTTTAACCTGAATTCTAGGTAAAACAGCTGGAGTTTGCAAATTAACCAGTACTAATTTACTGGTTTACACAAAAGTTTATCAGGTCTGTAGCATATATTGTGGGTTTTTCAAAATGGTGTAAATTTTAAGTTACTTGGAGGATAAGTGAGTCGTGGCTAAAGTGTATGACACATTCACATACGAATTTGTAGTTTTCTCTACTTACCTTTAAGAAGTCTTTCAGAGAAACAGCATTCTACAGGGTTTCTGTTAAGTTGCCCTTTTGCCTTGCAGAGTATTGGTAATAATATATACATCTGTATTTATCTATATACACACATATACACATACGTACATACACAAAATAATATAAAGGATTATAAAGTATTAAGATAGAATGATAAGGCAATAGTGGGAATGTTATATTTACACATTACCACGAGTTATAACTTACAGCATGTTAAAGAAAGTCCATTGTAATGATGTTTTTTGTTGTTGTTTTTTTGTTTTTTTTAATTATAGATGGGTGACGAACAATGACAGTTTTGCACCAGAGGACCCATGTTTCTTTTGTGATGTTTGCTTTCGGATGCTCCACTATGATTCAGAAGGCAACAAACTGGGAGAATTCCTTGCTTATCCTTATGTTGATCCTGGAACCTTTAATTAATAACAAAAGTACACCCTTGTGAAGTAACTACCCTGTGGATGGTTACTTTATTTCCAAAACATGTCACTGAGGAACAGGATCCACCCGACACAATCAGCCAGTTACCCACCCCCCTGCACAAGTTCAGATCACAGGTTTTCTTACAAAGTAACTTGTGTTTAGAAATACATTAGTTTAGTATTTATTCCAAAATATGGTTATTATTTAGTGCCTGTGCCCATTAAGTGTGTTTATCTAAGTTGTAGGAGTACTTTATATATTTTGAATACAAATCCTTTGTCAGATTCAAGTGTTCTGATTTTTGCCCAGTCTGTGGCTTGTCTATTCATTCTGTGTCCAGAGTGGTTTTTGCTAATCTGTAATTAGAAAAATTCAGTTAATGATACATCAAGTGGTGGGAGTATTTTGAAAATTCTTTGAAGAGTGCAAGAGCTACACCTTGTACCGTGAGGCTTCCAAGGTAAACATCATTCAATTATCTGTAATAAAAATGAGGAACAAGAATAAAAGATTTAACAAATAACAGCATTAAGAATAGCTATTGTGTAATCTGTTCTCACAGTGGGTTCGTTTATAGTGTTTTGTTTTGTTAGAAACTAGTAGGCACACTAAACATTTTAATGAGACTCGCTGCATGAATAATGAATGTAAAAAGGATCCTGAGTATATACTCCTACCTTCACAAAAGTCACCTTTAAATTGAAGATTGATTTCTTGGGCAAGAATTGTTTCAGTTTAATGTTATTAAAAGAAAACAGCAGATTTTGAGGCACCTGGCTGGCTCAGCCGGTACAGCATGCAACTCCTGATCTCAGGTTAGAAGTTCAAGCCCCACGTTGGGTATAGAGGTTACTTAAAAATAAAATCTTAAGAATAGCGGATTTTATGTACTATGACCACTGGGACATGGGTGGGACATGGGAAGTCAAGATCCTGTGGATTGCTAGGATCACTCACTCTTGGGCAAGAATACCCAATATTCTATCAGAATCAGTTGGACCAGAGGTTTTCTGGTCCAGCTCTTTCATTTTTCTGGCCCCCTCACTCGGATAATCCTACTTATTCTCTTTCATTCTGGTCCGGAGGACACCTTTGATGAATTCCAAGATCTAGGTCATTAGAGAAAATTGTAGTTATCTAGTTGTCTGTGTTGAAATGTTTTCTGGAAACTTTTGGTGGAAAGTTTAAGACTTCTAAGAATGCTGTAAAATTGTTCCTTTTAAACGTGTCATAAATTCTGCTCTCTCTCTTCTAGGTTATTTAAAGTCAATTGAGTTCCACATTCCCTGGATGGTTAAGAGCATTTACCATACAAGTCAAAACTGATGAATCCTTTAAGCCTGTATGTTTAAAAGATTGGCAGTGAAATGTTTTGTGGACTTAAGTACCACATACCCAATTAAGTCCATTGCTGTACAGAGGACACGCACCTGTTTCTGGTATGTGTAGTGACCGTCTCTTTCACTCATTCGGTGAATACACCACCAGAGGATCAGTATAAAGAACTAAGAGATCCCTCCCTCCCTTGCCTGGCTTTAGTTGCTGCCTAAATGTTTACTTTCATGTTTCCAATGATGCTAATAAATTCAACAGATTGAAAGTTCTGCTACAAACCTATTGATTTAACCAATTCCTAGAAGTTCCAGGGGTAAAAATGAATTTCTGCATCCTTTATTTTTAAACTGTATTCCTTATAGTTCTTGCATTAGTATGCAAGGGTCTGTTTACTTCTATTCATTTTCCTTTCCTAGTCTCAAAACAGAAAATTCCAAAAAGTGCATTGTCCCAGCGGAAGCATTAATCCATATGTGGTGCCCATCAATTCATTTTAGTGGACGAAGAAGACCGTCAGTTAAAATATTACTGCTAGTAAAATTCTTACTTTATCATTAATATTGTCCTGCTGGCTCTTAAGGTTAAACTTTCCCATCAAAATTACAAAGGCTCTGATATCTTTTTATCATTTCCTTGTGAAATCTAGAGGAAGAAAGGCTAACCTTGTTACTCCCAGAATTTGCCAGTGTATTGTTGGATACACAGGTGTCCCACCAAATTCAAGTCAAAAGAACTTCTAACTTTGAAATAGTCCTAAAAGAGGTCTTGAGTGAGGGATTTTATAGCTGTAAAATTCAGTGTTAAACATGACTTAAATTACGTATTTTACCTGATGCAAAGCAAATATGAAAATACTGTAATGAACTTTATTTAATCAGTATCCTCTGTAGTTAGAATAAGATTTTGATATAATAGTAGATGAGTGTGTGCAAAAATCAGTATTTAGAAAAGCAAAATTGGTTTATGTCTTTCAACCCCTGGTATCTTGTAAGGATAATTTTACCTTCTCCCAATCCAGTCACAATATCTTTATCATCTCTAAGGTTAGAGAACTAAATTAAAAACATTTCTACCTACGTAGCGGTTCATTTCTTAAGGTTTGTAATTATGGGTTTGCTATTTCCAATAGATCATCCTTTCTCTGACCAGTGGGACAAAATAAGGTGTTAGTGAAGCCCTCACAGCCTTGTAAAAGCCTTTGCTCTTATGTAGGATTAGTTGGCAGACCTCATCTTGACCCGACCTCTTCAACCAGGTAAGTGTGTGTGGGTACACTATAATCAGTGTTATCAGCCAAAAGCGGGTAAAATATCTTCCTACTGTTTGAAATTACAGGATAAAACAGCAGAAGGCTTAAGATAGTCAAGTTGTTTATACATTGTTTCTCCAATTCAGATGGTACCTGTGAAATTTCTCCAAAGCAGCTAAGAAAACTTTAGACAATTCTTTCTATAGGGCCACAACGTACTCTCTTTTTCCAGAAAACTTTAACATTGATTTTTGAGAGAGAGGGAGACATAATCCAAAGCAGGCTCCAAGCTATCAGCACAGAGCCCACATGGAGCTCAAACTCACAAACTGTGAGATGACGACCTGAGCTTAAGTCAGATGCCCAACCGACTGAGCCACCCAGACACCCACTCTTTTAAATGTTATCCAGTGGTTGAAAAAACATGAAGTAGGTGGTTTATACCTACCAAAAGAAAAAATTTTTCCCCACTTTTGTTAGCTATCTCATTTAAATTATCTTGGTGACTTGACTTGTTCAGCACTGGAGTTTTGACCAAATACACAATTTAAATTGAGAAAATGCTCCTGAAAGTTATTGGTATTTATGACTTTTTAGGAGTTCTCACAGTGGTAGTTACCTGTGAATCAGCCTATGACAAACCGAAAATAGAAGGCCAGTTACGTTTAACACTATGTAAGTCAATGGTTTAGAGCAAGGCCAGCCCAAACACGCAGACATAAGTTATCAGAAAGCTATTATATAGATCTCCTGAAGTTGAATATTCTGTGGTTTCTCAGTAAAACTGTTATCAATCTGCTGGGTCACAGAAGAAAAGGGGAGGGTGAACAAAAAATAACATTTTTAGCTTCCTATAGATTTAGTTGTTACCCTGTCTCCCCAGGCAACACAACCTATATACCAAGTTAAGAAATTAACTCCGCTAGAAGCAAATCCAGAATTCCAAAAACATTTTTAAGTAGCAAAGAATTTACTAGTAGAGTTTGATAGAAAAATCCTTTAATCAAAACAAGTTTACAATGTTGACACTTATGGCTTAACTAGAATAAATCTGTTCAAATTTAAGTTGTATTAAGGACCAGATATAGTGTAATATCAATAGTTCCCTCAAAACAGTGGGTCCTGGTTTCATTGTAAGACCTCTCAAAAAGCAAAACTCCAACTGTTGAAATAATTCACTTTTCATCTATAGATGAAAGCAATTACCTGAGAGGTCAAAAACATACAATGCATGTCACATGCAAACACTGGTATTAGTATTAAGCCTTTTCCCCATATTCATAGTTTTGAAACATGAGAAGTGTCTTAGCTACTGAAAACCACCAACTGACCTAATATTCAAAATATCTTAGAAATTCTATCTGCTAAATTACCCTTAAGTTTTGTTAACGTTGGTTTACCCTGACTTAAGTCCATATATATGAATATAGAGACCATCGAAATACTCCTTTACTTAGTCTTACTGCCTCAGAGCAACATGTATTTCTAACTCCTCACAATTCTGTCACATGCAGGATCTCTAAATAATAATCCCCTTCTGATATAGCCTTGTTTTCAAATAGGTTAGTTTTCTTATATAGTATTTACTATTTACTGCGTAAGAATCATGGATTTTTTTTCCAATTAAAAAAATACTCAGTGACTTCCTTAAATGAGTGTGACTTTTTAAAAATTCAGAAACTTGAGACAGTTCTCAAAAATAAACTTTTATCGTTTACTTTTAGTTTCACCTACTAGTGCCTGTAAAGGATCTTAGATGGTAGAACCCTAAAGCCAGATTCATTCCTATATATACCTATTCTGCTTTCTGCAGGGAAGTCACGTGACTTCACTGAATTCCCAGCCATAAAACCTAAATTACCTTCGAAAGTTAACATGAGTTTTGTACCTCGTAGAATTGTCAGTTCAACGTCAGTTGGGTATCTAGTTGTCATACAAAAAGGCATACAGACCACAAATTGTTACAAAGCAGCAGGATAATAATGTAGCACAATGTAGACTGTGAGATTAAAATTAACTTTTGATAAAATAAGTGAGTACTTGTATAGAAGTAACATTTTATCTACCATAAAAATGCATAACTTCTACAAAACCCACAAACAGTGAAAAGACAACTCTGGTAAATCCAATATTTGTAAAAACTATGCACAAAACCCACAGTATTTGGGAAAGAGGAAAGGTTTATACAAGTAGCAGTTTTAAAAATGTAACTTTTTTCTACTATCAATTACACGTTAACATACACACACTAATTGAAATTATGCTACAACCAATGTCTGGAAAAGCAGTTTAACATTTCCTAAATGAGTTTTCCCTCACACTTAGTGAATAATGTAGCTGTTAATACTGCACAAGTACAATTAGCAATAATGTTTAATTACTTTTAAACAAATATAAAGGGATTTTTCTCCCTCCAAACAAGTTTTCAACATCAAAACCTATGCTTATAAAAATTTAAAATTTTCAGCATTCTAAATATTTCAAATGAAAACCATTACAAACTTCTCAAATGTTCTTTATATTCCAGGTATGTCAACCTAATTATCTAGTGTAGAATCCTTCAGAGATATTTCAGTCTCTCTCTCTTCATTGGATGGCCTAAAGAAAGGAAAGAAAGGTGTGTCAACTGGGATTAGGGGCTCTTTTCCTCCGGGAGGAGGGGGAAAAACACATTAAATCTGTGCATTATGTTTTTAAGGCCACCAAAAGATTAAAGAAATAATAATCTTGACTTCCTTTTGTTCAAAATTTTATTTGACCATGTTGTGTCTTCTTCCTAAAGTAATACTGGGATCAAACACAAAATAACTCAGGAAGCATCATGGCCCAGGCCCTTTCCATCACTTCCAGCTTTAAAATGAATTCTCTTTGAAAAACATGAAAAGGTTAGATCTGTGATACCAACACATTATAAACCTTAATAAAGAGAAGGGGTGACAGACACAGATGACAAGATTTCCCTGACTTTCAGAATTAGAAGGGATGCCTGATTCCAAGCCCTTCAAATGTGTAGCAGAACAAAGCCAAGACTTGGAGAACCCCAGTTCAGTTAACTAGTTATTTAGAGTGGGTGCAGCAGAGAACAGCCTGTGATTTTAGTCTAATTTTTGTATTATTCTGTCACAATTCAAGAAAGTATAAATGTAAGTCACTATTAGAGCTGCATTAGTGAAAGAAATCCAAATACTTCTTTAAACTGGAATCCTACCATCTAGCTCTAATCCTTTGAATACAGGCAAATTAACTGTAAATTGTATTTTTTTGTTTTTGCCTTTTTGATTTCCGTCTTGCTTCCTGAATTCAGGAACTGAGTGATCAAAATAGAATTCTTCTACAAATAACCTTGGAACAGCAATGTGACTTAAGAATTAAAAATCTACATGATGACCCATTAAAACCTGTCCTCACTTTTTCTTACTGCTGGCCTCATGCTTGTCTTTGCTTTCTTCACTGCTGTCTCCATTGTGCTGTGCTTGGTTACTGTCTGGAGCATCGGATCCTCCATTCAGAGTCTTTGAACCTTTAGAAGGGTTCCAAAGGAAAAACCGTTAGAGCTTCTAATGCTTTTAAGATATCCTCTAAAGAGTCAAAATAAAAAATAAAACCTGGCCCTGAGGTCTCTAGTACTTAATGTACCTCATCTGAAACTACACTGTAATCTTTTGGGTATAACTGAGGCACAGTAAGAAGCAGGGTTACTCTATATACCTATCTGTACAAGAACGGGGATTTTTTTTTTCTTTTTTAAGTTCTTTATTTTGAGAGAGAGCCAGAGCAAAAGCACAAGCAGGAGAGGGGCAGAGAGAGAATCCCAAGCTGGCTCTGCACCGTCAGCACAGAGCCTGACACGAGGTTCAGTCTCAGGAATGGTGAGAGTGACCTGAACTAAAATCAAGAGTCGGATGCTTAACTGACTGAGCCACCCAAGCACCCCAGAAAGAGCATTTTTCATCTGATTATTCTATTTCTTATAAAAATGTGAATCAGGGGCACCTGGGTGGCTCAGTCGGTTGAGCGTCCGACTTCAGCTCAGGTCACGATCTCATGGTATGCGAGTTCGAGCCCCGCGTCGGGCTCTGGGCTGATGGCTCGGAGCCTGGAGCCTGCTTCCGATTCTGTGTTTCCTTCTCTCTCTGCCCCTCCCCCGTTCATGCTGTGTCTCTCTCTCAAAAATAAATAAACGTTAAAAAAAAAATTTTTTTTAAATGTGAATCACAGTAAAAATTTTATATTTCCCATTGGTATTTTATTTAAAAATTTTTTTTTAGTGTTTATTTTTGAAAGAGACAGACAGTACGTGGGCTGGGAGGGGCAGAGAGAGAGGGAGACACAGAATCCAAAACAGGCTCCAGGCTCTGAGCTGTCAGCACAGAGCCCGACGGGGGGCTCGAACCCACGAACTGTGAGATCCTGACCTGAGGGAAGTCCGTCGCCCAACTGACTGTGCCAACCAGGCGCCCCTCTCATTGGTATTTTAGAACAAAAAGTGTCAAATGTACTATTTACTAATTGACACGATTTTATGTCCTATTACTAATTAAATGATGAGGGCACTTTCTAACAAATCTCTAAGGAGACCTGCATCATCATTCCCTAATAAATGAGTAAAAACAATCCAACTCCTTTTGAATATTTTTTCTACATTAAGCAGCTCCTAAGACATTTAATAACATGGAATTGGGGGAAATTATAATACTGTGGTTCTAGGAGTCTGTCACAGAGGTACCCTAAAATATCTGTGGTGGAAATTGCGTATCTGGAATTGGCTCCCAAATTATCTTCAGGGAGGTCACAGAGAAGCCTGATGAGAGTAAAACAGAGCAATAATCGCAGAAGCTAGGTGATGGGGACCTGGAACTTCCTTTCTTGTCTACTGTGGGGTCAGAAATTTTTCCTAATTGAAGTGAAAAGAGAATAGTAACTGCTTATAGTATTATTACTAAACACTAGTATTTACTACTACATTAAGCTTGATGAAAATGATTTAAACTGAATGAAAAAGAAAAACCCAAGTGTTTAACCTTAGCTTCTCTTTTTCTAAGTGCTTTATGAGACCTCTTCATCATTTAATGCAGAGAAGATATTAATGAAATTACATATCAAAGCCATTTTTAAAAAGCAGTCCCAGCAGCAAACAACTTATTATCACATACCTGTTTGTTCCTTTTCTAGCTTTTTGTTTGGCCCTTTCTTCCCTTGATCTTTGGTTTTATTTGCTTCCTCATGCTGTCTTTGTTCGGCAAGAGATTTATTCAGCACTTGTGTGATCACAGAATCTCCTTCACCAACCAAAAACATATTCTTAAACTTGTTATACAACATTGTGGACTTTTCCATGATAATCTGACTGACTTTGAATCGCCGTATCTGAGAAAACAAAATGTACACTCACAATTGTTTTCTTCACTGATTTTTAAACCCTTATTTCTTAACCAAGTGGTAATGAGAAAATTTTTAAAATCTGCACGATTCACGATCACTCACTTTTTTCAGCGTGGTGATCATCTCTGTGTGTTTCTGAGCTTGTTGCATCGTGACCTGAAGTGACGCAAGTTCATCCAAGGCCTCAATACATCTGTTCACGTCCTTCATGACAAAACAGTAACGTCATAACTGTTAATTACCACAGCCTGGATAACCTACTCCTAAAGAATACTTTAAAAATCTCAAACAAGGCAATACAAAATAGCCATAATAGTCCCACTTCTTAAATTATCCATACTTACAACATCATGAGAGAACATGAAGCTATAAAGGCAGTACTATATTTTTAAGTGAGGTATGAAACACTTACAAGATTATCAATTTTGAGTGAATTTTTAATTTCAGCATGTATCCTCTGAAGTCGAGAATCCATTGATGTTTCTATAAATTGAAATGTGAAACACAGTGAATAGTTTTTCCAAAACCCGTATTTCTGTATAAATCTACTAAGCAAAGCACAGTGACAAGACCTGGTGAATTTTTAAAAACGTTCTTAGTAATCTGCCCAGATCACTAAGAAGTTATTTGGCACATTTTAGGGTTTAGGAAAGCAGCGTTCATCATTTAAAGAAAAAAAAATCACCTTCTAGCTGCATAGGTGTCTAAAATAAGCTGTCTGCATCCAGTAATTAACCCCTTTATGCCAATCCTTAGACAGCTGTTTCACCTTACACATTTAACCAAATAGAGAAACTCTATCTGAAACAATGAGATCTGTCAAAAATGGGAAAACATCTAACTTTTGGCAGTGTTACAAAAACATGATCATCAAATAATGAGCAATAAAACCGCAAGCATGACTCCTTATTAGCAAGTTCACCTGATTATACTTAAAATACAAGGACTATAGAATCCGTTAGGGATCTGAAAAAGCACAATTATAGGGGATTTGAGAACTCTTACGAAATGATTTAAAAACCTACACATGAAAAATTAAATATATAACTTCCTTTCTATGTATAATTTTTATACATCTTAGGAAGGAAAATAACTAACCTCGCTTCTTCTCCACTTTCTTAACTTCTGGCTTCTTTCCTTCATCTTTATTCTGCCTATCAAATGTTAACACAAATATTTCAAAACGTTGGAACTTTGTGACTGATTACCAAATGCCCACAATCCCTTATGTAAAAGCTAAAAAAATTTTTAAGGTAGAAAATAGCCTAGATCACAAGGAATTGACTTGTAATGCATACAACTTTAGAATGCCACAGCATTAACTATAAACAAAAAACACATGTAAAAATGAACATGCTAAAATCTAGTGTTTCAGTGGCATCACAAATAATTTTGATGCTAGTCATGGTGAAACTTTTTTCCAATAGTAAATAGTGTGCTGCTTAAAGGCCCAATTTCAGGGTCAGTGGACAAACATACCATAGTGGGAAAAGAATGCTTATAAACATTTCATGAATTCTACATAATTATTTTTAAAAGTAGTATGTCAAAACAGACTAACTTTTCCCACATCTCCAAGAGGGCAGACAGTTGAAGGAGTTGTTAAGTTTCAAGGTTAAACAGACTGTTCAAAGACAATAGTATTAAAACGGGGGTTTGGCCAATACATCAAACTTAAATGACATTCACTGACATTTACATACCATTATACAAAAGAAAAAGTACCATTTTACGTAAATAACCCTTTAAAACAACTCCTAATTTCTAGTGTCTTGGCTTTGAGTTCGGGCCCTATTGTAAACCAATTGAAATAGACAAGAACAAAACAATATCTAAAAATCAGGTTTTTTTAAAAAAGACTTTATTTTAAAATTTTGGTTACAGTTTCATTTTTGTTTTCTTAACAAGTCTACTGTTTAATCTCTCAGGATTAAAAAAACAATTATTAAGGTTCTAAAGAATTAAACAACAAAGGAATGTCAAGGGAAGGGCACAACTGCCCCCATTCTCTGGGGTATAAGAGCTATTCCAGTTTAACACCTAACTTCAAAACAAAATGAATTTTTATATTTTCTAAATGAAATAATGTACAACCACCATCTTCTAACTTTCAAACACAAAGCTTCACCTTAAGCTTGGAAAAAAACCAAAAAAACAAAAAAAAAAAAACTTAACAGGAATGATGGCCGACCTTAGTATGTAGTGTGTACCTTACAGGATTTTTTTTTTTTTTAAACAATCATAACACAGTAATGCCATTAATGAAGTCCTCAATTTAGAATCTGCAACATTCTTCCATCAAGGGGGGGGAGGGGGGAATTCAGTCCAATGAGTCTGTCTCGAGATCTTCATCTCTTGTTTGCTCCACTTGTATTCTCTTTTCAGTAACTGGATTAATGCTTTGAGCCCAAAATGAGATATATTTTTTATTACTGTAGATTACATGTTGTTTGGCTGGGAATACAATACAATAAACTTTATTTTGCATAATGCATTTCACACAAGCTGCATCTGAAATGCTTTACAGAGCAAAACTGTCCAAGTACAAAGTTTTGTAATAACAGGAGAAGGAAAGAAAACACAAATATTAGAATTTGAGAAAGTTACATTCGGAGGACATTCAAAAAGAAACTGAAACACATAAAGATAACTTTGAGATACTGAAGAAGGGCCGGGCTAGATTTACTAAGCAACCACTAATTTTCTATCTTAGTTTGGGGAGCACAATAAAGTCAAAAGTAACAAACAGTCCAACAACTCTTCAGTAAAAGGATAGAAAAGGATAGGCAATAAAAAGTAACATATTTACAGAAACGGTCAAGTCTAACAGACTGGAGGGAGTAACATTTCTGAGCTTTAGATCTTTGATGTCACTCCACTCAAGCAGCTGAAACTGCTTATTATCCTCCAAACAACTAAGAAAGCAGATAGTCAAACGCTATACTTGTGAAGAGACTTTGGCTCACAACTCTATCTTATAAAGAGAAAGTACAAATTAATTAAAGAATTCATTACTTATCGTTAAATGTGTCTTAGTGACCTACAGCATGTTTTTAAAATCACTTCCATTAACAAGAAACCAAGTTTAGTCAGAATAATGCAAGACGCTTCGCAACAAAATGCTTTTCAAAGAAAACTCAGAAGTGGCAGTCTAAAGATAACTAGGAAAACAAATGTAATAAGCACATGGAGTGTAATCATCACCAGTGCTATTTTCCTCCTAATAAAATTATGTTATAGAATAAAATTAAAGGGGAAAGAAATTCCCCACGGTAAGTGCGTATTGTCTCCAAGTATCAAAACTTAAGTCAGCTTGGAGCTTTTGTATCGCACACATCCAACTCAAACCCTGTCAGCCTCTAGATTTACTTTTATTGGCTTCTCGGGTTTCCAGCTGTGCTCCTCTTATTGTTGCTGTTCTTTTGGGAAGAGGTCTGCTGGTGGTATGACAAGGATGTTTCCTTCTTCCTCCACCAACATATTATCACCACTTTCTGTATTTAATACTAAACAAGTAAACAGTAGAGGATGAGGACATTTTCAGCAAAGCCACTAACAGTTAAATCCTATCTGCACTTTCAGTTTAAATTAAAAATATTCACAAGTGATTACCTCTGAATTTCCTCCTCTTACTCAGCAAAGAATGAAGCCTGAAACATGATTATCATCATATATTGAAGACTGTTTTCTAACACAGGGGAGAAGTCACTTCTCTTAAAGGCTTCATCAAGGTCTGAAAAATGAGATTCTATCGTTTAAAAATTTCATGCTAGCTTAAAAAATCAAAATTTAGAATAAAAAAATACTTACTGCTCCGTTTCCATCTGTTCCTCTTGCTTGCGTTTTCTATCTGCTGCTTCTTTCTCATGTTGGCCTTTCAACATATTCCTTCTATGAGCAGTCTGAAAGTTTCTTCCACCTTTTCTCTTCTGTTTTGAGGATTAGGATGAATTTAGTTAACTACCAAGTCAGTGACTATGATTACAATCTTGGGAGGAAAAAAAAGCAACTGGTTTTCTTAAGGGACAAATACTTAAATGACTGATTTTTAAAAATCTCAGAATTATACATGTTGCTGTCTAAACTGAACTTTCCCTTGCTGATTCGGGGAATTAAAATCTATTTCCTGCACTGCTGTAATATACTAAGCGATGGCCTTTGGCTCAAAGTATGTCAGGCTGTTGGCCTCCACACTATGGTTCTGATTTCAGTACTGTTTACTGACAGGTACATTGCTTGGCTTCTCAAGTATTTGGAAATCAGGAAAAAAAAAAGAAAAAAAAAAGATTCACCAAACCAGGTCTGTAGATCTCCAAGGCTACATACAGTACTTATTCCTAAACAACTGTGGCATTCAAATACCACTGATAAAACGTTACACTAAATAGGCCTGAAGAGTAGTTAAGAATTTCACTGTAGGAAATAATAAAAATCCCCATATAAATGCATCGCTTTTAGGTCTTCTCTCGTCGCAGCTCATCTAGCTTAATTTCTACTTTTCTACCTTTTCTAGATAGGTGGGTTACTGGAGTAAACATTTGATTTCCGTATCATAATTGTGAAGGGTGAGATAAACTTAGAATTATAATAAAGTTTCAAGTACGGTTTTTAACACAGCTAATTCAAGTTTACTCAGAAAGGCAGGGAAATTCAGTTTTACTTTTAATCACATTCATACTTTCACAGATACTGAAAGCTTACGAGAGAAAAAGAACTACACAGGAAACCAAAAATAGAATAAGTATTTTACTTGATAGTACCTTTTCACTTTCTTGATCATCCCCTTCCTCTTCAGAATCAGAGGTTGATGTAACCCCTGTTTTAGCTGAATTTTTTCTTTTGGATTCAACTTCTTTCTTCCCCTCTTTTTTGTCTGGCTCTTTTCTTGGCTTATCTTCTTCTTTCTGGCCCTCTTCATCCTTTTTAAGCTGCTTTTTAGGTTGTTTTTCTTCTTGCCCCTTTTTCTTACTTTTGTCTTCTTCAGTTACCCTATTTTTGAAAATACAGCAATGGAAAATGAATTTTTAGGTATCATTATTCATTGTCTTTTAGCCATACTCTCCCAATCAAAGAAGTATTTTGGCTAAAAATGAGCAATAATTTACTTAGACAAATTTAACATATCTTCCAGTAAAATAGTATCTTTACCATCCAGTAATAGAAAGAAAAGAACATCCTTTTCATATAAATTAGAAGACACAAAAATCACAGTGGCATTAAGGTAATAAAGTGATTTTCCCTTTGTTTTCCCAGTTTCTTGTCATGTTACTCATTCACTGAAAAAAAGAATACAGAGTAGGACCTTCTGTGCCAAGATACTACTCTTCACTGTGGGGCCACAGCAGTACATTAGATGGGTGAAAGAGCCAGACCTTCTATTCTACATCATTATAAGAATAACAGGTTTTAAAAAGAGTAGACTGGGAAAAGTACAATTGTAGAAGTGAACTGGTTATTATCAAATATGGCCATTTTAGAATTCAAAGAAATACTCCACAAGGTAAAAGGCTCCCAAATTACGCACATAATGGTAAAATATATGGCCACTAAGCATAATGTCTAACAGTGCTAAATTCACTAGCAATAAGCATTCCCATCACCAGTGGATTTACAGACCTCATTAAAACTAAGTCAAAGCTACCAAAACTGTCCAGTAAGCGTAACATCATTGGATGACATCTATGCTAATGAATACAGCAGAAATAAATATGAATATTTAGTATTTATGATACGATGTTATTAGGCTCTAGCAGAATCAAAGGATGCCAGTGCAGGGGCCCTTGGGTGGCTCAGTTGGTTGAGCATCTGACTTCAGCTCAGGTCATGATTTCCCGGTTTGAGTTTGAGCCCCGTGTTGGGCTCTGCACTGACAGCACGGAGCCTGGAGCCCACTTCGAGTTCTGTGTCTCCCTCTCTCTCTCTCTGCCCCTCCCCTGTTCATGGTCTCTCTCTTTTTCTCAAAAATAGGTAACATTAAAAAAAAAAAATGATGCCAGTGCTAACCACATAATTACTTCTATGGTATATACGTTCAATGAAAGCAACCCCATAAAAAACTACAACAAGTTTTAACAGCTGTTTAAAAAATCTTTTTGGGGGGGCACCTGGGTGGCTCAATTGATTAAGTGTCCGACTCTTGATTTGGGCTCAGGTCATGATCTCTCAGTTTGTGAGATCAAGCCCCACGTCGGACTCTGTGCTGTCAGCACAGAGCCTGCTAGAGATTCTCTCCCTCCCCTTCTCTCTGCCCTTTCCCTGTCCATGCTCACTTGCTCTCAAAATAAACTTTTAAAAATAAAAAAATAAAATTAAGATTGATTTTTTACTGTTCTAGGAATTTCAGTGAGATTTTCAAAAATTACACAATTATATCAATGGGTCTGAGAGGTGGAAGAGACTTCAGATCATATAACTGGTCCAATATCTCAGTTCCAAATCCACTGACCACCTATCAGACACTGCTTCCTTGAACTCTTAGGAGATTATTAAACTGGAAGAGAAAAAATTCACTTTTTAACCTCTTTAGAAATTTGTCTTATTAGGGGTGCCTGGGTGGCGCAGTCGGTTAAGTGTCCGACTTCAGCCAGGTCACGATTTCACGGTAGCTCAGAAACAGCCTCCCCCGCCTGGCCAGGCTCTGGGCTGATGGCTCAGGAGCCTGGAGCCTGTTTCCATCTGCAGCCTTCCTCTCCAGCCCCTCCCTGCTCATATGCCTCTAGTCTCTCTCTCTCAACCTAAAATAAATAATAAATCGCTAAAAAAAAATTAAAAAAAAAAAAAAAAAAAGAAATTTGTCTTATTAACAACCATTATTGGCTATGCTTATTTTCAAATGTCATATGGGTTTCCTCATCAATTTCTAACCGATGGAAGAAAAGGCATGCGAGTAAAATCATTTAAAATTTTAAGTTTATATAAACTTTATATCTTAAGAGTGATACATACAGTGGAATACCATTTGGCTTTTTTTTAAAACAGATTAAGAAGTGTACAATAAGGTCATAAGAGATGGGATTATTATTTCAAGGGTTTTTGAACAGTATCAAAGCAGATTGCCACAAAATTAACCATCAGAGCTTGCTATAAACAAGTATTTTCCGAATGGTCCTCCATACCGCCTTTCATGAAAAACACTTCTCCATAGCAACAATTTCCCTTTTTACTAGGTCAAGGCACAGTAGGAAACTATTTGTAAATAGTTAAAAAAACATGTTAACGTAAGCAAAAACTACTGCAAATACAACCCCAATTATCTCAGTCGCTTATAACAAATATTTCTTACTTTACGTGAGAATTATAAGATGGTTTCAGCTCTTCTGGGTTCTATACCACTGTCATTTCAGGACTCACGGCAAAAAAGCTACCACTAACACATACATTCTGTTCTCATGATGGGAGAGCAAAAGTATAAGAAAAGCTTACATAGTTTAACTGCACTCCACACTGAGTTTGTGCTCAGATACACAGCTGAGAACAGCTATAACCGATACCCAGCCTACACATAATGTGAAGTGTCATTAAGTTACCACTATGTGAGGCTGTCCATAAATTGCCTTTGCAAAAAGCTCATGGATACAGAAATTTATGTAACACAATGTGACACTGACTCTGGGGCTGAGAAATTGAAAATCCTAATATATTATTATACAATAGGTAAAACTGTCATTTGTGATAACGTGAAAGAAAATTCAGTGAATGTGTGGCTTTGAGTGACAAGTTTTCAAGACCGAATGCTAGCATCTTAAGTTGGTTGTTACCAGGATAGATTTGATAGGGTACTTCAAGAAAGGAGTTTAAAAAAATGACAAAAGGAAAACCGAAAAATTCCACGCATTTCTGTGTTTAAAGTCACCTCCATCTTGTAAAAACTTCAAATTCAGAAAAAGACTAGGGTCAAAGATCCAATCAAGGGTATGAGCTGCCAGCTTCTCCTTAAGTATTCAAATTGGGCTACCGTGGTCCTTCAGATGAACAAATAGTTTCTAGGAAAGAGACCAAGGGGTTCTCAGGAAAATCTGTAAACTCAAAGTGAGTGCAAATTAAGTATAATAAGATAAGCATGTGGGGGCAGGGGGACAGTGTGAATACAATTTTTTAAGCAAAAAAAATTGAGAAAAGGATTGAGAAAAAGGATTGAGAAAATCCTATAAAAAGACCACCTGCATGGCTCAGTTGATTAAGTGGCCAACTTTGGCTCAGGTCAGGATCTCACAGTTCGTGAGTTCGAGCCCTGCATTGGGCTCTCTGGTATCAGAGAGGAGCCCACTTCAGATCCTCTGTCCCCTTCGCTCTCCCTAAAATAAATAAATAAACTTAAATAAAAGACCACTAGGCATGAAGCTGGCTCAAATAAAACACACACACTCACAATAAAGTATTATTAGCAAATGTAATACAGCCTGCATCAAGAGAAATTAATGGAGATCTAAAAAGGAAACTTGGGTCCCTCCAACTCCCTACAGCCTGAAAGCAGACGGAATCCTACCCAGCTGATGAAGGTAATATTTTCCAATGACCTTTTCAGACACATCTAAGGACGATACTGAAAAAGTAAACTGTCACAGGATTAGCTAAAAGCCACGGAGAGATATGGTCTGGCAAGAGACTCTCAGGGAAAAACTGGGGCCTAATCAAGGGAACCTTCCTTATACCTAAAATCAGGAGATCTCACACTATTTTCCCAGAATTCTAGATTTCCTAGGGAACAATGACTACTCTATGCCTCTTAATCTTCTCCTTTCCAAACAGTCGTATTTATTTATTATGGTTCCCTATCCCAGATCTGGGTGTGTGATAAAAGGGAGAGGGGAGCAGATACCTTGTGTTTTCAGTTCCTAAGTCTCCAGATCAAGACCTTGTATCAATTATGAAATCCTAGACTTTATACCTAATGCCACGATTAGATTAGGAAGGGAATGAATAAGATTTGGCATGTTTAAAAAGAAAAACTCATCTGCATGTACCTAATTTCTTCACTGCAGCAGTTAAAACCACGTTGTAATATTGTGCCAGTATTTTTGAGGAAAATTTAATAGCTAGCTTGGCAGTAAAACTCTTTAAACACATTTTAATCAAAAAGTACAAACTTCCATGTTCTGTAACTAAAATGTCCTATAAAAATGTTTCATATAAAACACTGTAAAAGCCCCTCTTAAATGACCAACACGCTTGAGCCTTCTCTATAAAATCTTTAAACATAAGAGCTAAAGAAGACTTTTGCCCTTTGTCTAAATATATACTCTCTCTCGTGAAGTTTCCACCCAGAAAAGTCCTATAACAATACCCATATGCAGAAAAGAAAGGTGGCGGGGCGCCTGGGTGGCGCAGTCGGTTAAGCGTCCGACTTCAGCCAGGTCACGATCTCGCGGTCCGTGAGTTCGAGCCCCGCGTCAGGCTCTGGGCTGATGGCTCAGAGCCTGGAGCCTGTTTCCGATTCTGTGTCTCCCTCTCTCTCTCTGCCCCTGCCCCGTTCATGCTCTGTCTCTCTCTGTCCCAAAAATAAATAAACGTTGAAAAAAAAAAAATTAAAAAAAAAAAAAAAAAGGTGGCAAGAAAAAAATTTTTTTTTGTTGATAACTAAGTAGTTAGCATATCAAAATACTTTAAATTCACATTGCAAAAGTAATTTTAGTAGGGTTTTTTTTTTCTTTTTTCTTTTAAGTAATCTCTATACCCAACGTGGAGCCTGAACTCATGACCTGGAGATCAAGGGTCACATGCTCTACTGACTGAGCCAGCCATTACTAAGGAGCCCCTTAGTAGTATTTTTAAAAGTTATTCTAAAGGAACTAGAAAAGATTTGTGGAAATTGCTCCAAAAATACTTTGTCTGAAAATTCCTTGGGGCACCTGGGTGGCTCAGTTGGTTAAGCATCCAGCTCTTGGTCTCAGCTCAGGTCGTGATCTCACGGTTCATGAGTTCAAGCCCTACATTCGGCTCTATGCTGACAATGCACAGTCTGCTTGAAATTCTTTCTGTGACCCCCCCCACCCCGTGTGTCTCTCTTTCAAAATAAACTTTAAAAAATAGTTTGCTTAAAAAAACTATATTGCCTAACTTCTCTTTTATAGATTTACCCTGTATTATCTAAGTATCTTTATAACCTTGATATACCAAGAAAATGTCTTTAATGAAAGGATAATCACATCAGATTTTTCTGGATTCCCCATCAATTTTTACTTTTTACACAATGAAAAACTTTTCAATAGTTTTTTCCCATAATTTTTAGAATTACTAAAAAGTAACAGCAAATATCCTACATTAAAAATAAACTCACATGTCACTCTCTGAAGGGCAGGGCTGTTTTACCATTTTGGGTCTGCCTCTTGGTTTCGGAATCTTGACTTCTGTAGCTAACATTCACAAGGAAAAACAAAGTCAGTAACTACCCACTTTTCCTTTTAAGATGCAATTCTCACATATAAAGATTACAAATGGTATGTACTATAAGACTATTGGTTAGTGGTTTATTACAGATACTATCTTATTTATTAAGTTTTAAAGATAATATCCCCCAATGATTCAAATGAACAACAGAATATTTAAAAGGGGTCAATCAACAGAGTAATTTTCAATCTGTCCTTAGTATGTCTGAGAGGACTTCAAAGAACATCCCTCATTGTTTTAACAGGAATATCACAAAATTCAACTTTATAACAATACCACTTATAGTCAATCTCCATATACATATTACAATACTGTATATATATGGTACATTTACATCTCTGAAAATCTGTATAATTCACTGAATTTTCTAACACCACTAATTTGATCCATTAAAATATTAAATTCCAAAATAAAAATTATGGAAACAAATCTCAGGATTTTTCTGGGTATTATGGATTTTCCCTTTTCAAAGAATCCTATTATGCAGTAGAAAAAAATGGGCTCTATTTTGTTGATTTTCTTTGTTTTACTTTGCCTTACTATTAGAGACATATCCTTCCAAACTACAGTGAAGCTTATGCTTTCTACAGTGAGAGGTAAAATAGATCCATCATTCATGGAATTTCATCTCACCACAGCCTCATTTGCAGCTATTAGGAGACATTTAGGTAAAACAGAAAATGAAAACAGTCCCAAGCAATTATTTTAAATCTAAATACTTTATCATAAAGCAGAAACCATGTTTATCTCCTTTGAAATGTATATATTATCCATAACCAATTACCTATCCACCTATTCGAAGGTATCTGAGGTACAACACTGTAATGGTTTGAAATATTAATCACAAGCCAGAGATTTAAACATTAATAATCCTACCTGCAGGTCGCCCTCTTTTAGGACTCACTTTCAGATTAACAGATGCTGCTGCTGTTGTCACTACTCCTGCCTCCTCAGTTTCTACTTGTTTTTCTGCCTGAATCACAAAGATTTAATTAACTTACTTAGCAAACAGTAGGCATTTCAAATTTAATTCAACAGCAAAGATATCCCACTTTACGATACAAAGTTTACATGTAACTGTAACTTGTACATGATTATTATTTTTCAGTAGTGAACTCATCAGAGCGACATCCCCAAACACCACAACTAGCAGACTCTAGTGAACAATTCTAAGAAACAAAAAACATCAGGGGCACCTGGGTGGCTCAGTCAGTTAAGCATCTGACTTCAGCTCAGGTCATGATCTCGCAGTTCATGAGTTCAAGCCCTGCACTGGGCTCTGTGCTGACAGCTCAGAGCCTGGAGCCTGCTTCAGATTCTGTCTCCCTCTCTCTGCCCCTCCCCCGCTCACGCTGTCTCTCTCTCAAAAATAAACATTAACAAAACAAAAACAAAAAACATCACTTTTTAGATGTTCTCAGGCTAAAAAACACCAATTTGTAAAAATACAGCTAACACACGATGCAAAATGATGACCCAAGTATAATATGCTTAACCCACACATGCTTATAAATGTACTTTCACCGAGTACCTTAAAATCCTAACACTTTACATTGTGTACTTATGAGGGAACTTAAGTTAATATTCTAATATTAGTAAAGGGAAGAAATTAAGTTGCTGATATTTCTTATTCTTTAACTTTGTTAATATATACATGTTTTACTTTTGAATTAAGACTGAGATCTGCTGTGTTTCTCTAGGAGTTACTATTTTCTGTAAAGAGTGATTTACTACAGTAATCAATTGCAGTGCCCCTTTGCAAACTATGATGCCTGAAGAGACAAGAGCCCAAAATGAGTCAGTTTAGTGGAGTCAAGCAGTAGAGTAGAACAAAGGTTAAAACCACCAATTAGAAAGTAAATGCAAACAACTTGATCATGATGGAAATGGGAGGAAAGAGACAGTGAAGAAAACAAAGACAAGGATGGGAGGGGCCCTAGGAGCTGCTTCCCCATGACCCATTATTTAAAATTCAGCATTAACTAAATTAACAAAAAAAGGCAATAAAGCATGAAAAGACATGCACAATCCAATCTTATTGACAAAACAACTTAAAAATCTTTTAATCAACAATCTGATTCACAAACATTTAAGAGATAATGCCCAGTATTGGTAAGGAAATGAAGAATCATATACTGATTACTAATGATCAATAAACAGGCAACAGCTTTCTGAAAGAATATCTTTATATCAGCAATAAACAGGCAAATTTTTGATTTATCAATCCTACTTTTTAAGTTTTAGTTATCTATGTAATCTCTATACCCCAGGTGGTGCTTAAATTTACAACCCCTAGATATGAAAAGTCAGGCTCTTCTGACTGAGCCAGCCAGGCACCCCAGTAATCCCACTTCTAAGAATCTTTTTTATTTTAAACATTATTTTTGTTTTTATACTTTGAAAACAACAATGCATATTCAGAGCATTATCAAAAGTCAATTAACTCAGCTATGTTCACCCCTGAACTGTTCTCAAGGAACATTACAAAAATTGCTCCCTTAAACATTAGCTAAGGTTGTATTTCTAGAATTTTAATAATTTACATACCACCCCCCCCCCCTTGATTCAATAGCTCCCCTGGTGGGGAACCAGGCACCTGTTTTTTCTTTGTTTACCATTACCAAGCTCCCTACGTACCTAAGGTTGAGAACCCAAGACTGTATGACAACTCTTCCTAGTGAGGTGTTAAGAGGGCAAAATCTTCTAAAATTCAGTTCAAACTGACGAGCTTTTCAGTGCAAAAAACAAAAACAAAAAACACACACCTCTCTTTATTTACACTTTCTATTTTTGAAAATAAATCAAGACATCATACAAGAATTAAAGGTAGAATGGATCTTTTGGAGGAGATACCAATAAGAGGTAACAAATTCATAAATAATTAGTATCATAGATAAAAAGATATTAACACTAATACTGAATAAAAAAACCAGCCCTATCATGAAGATGTATTCTTCACTGTTAGAAAAATTAGGCAACTCAAAAGCTTTCCTTATGAAAATAAAATCAACTGTTAAGCTCAAAAAAAAAAAAAAAAAAAGACTAAGTTATTTCAAATATACAAATATCCAAATCTTAAATGTAAATACACTGCAAATTAATTTCTTCTATATTTTACTTGATTCACAGAGACCTCTAACCCTTTGACACCTGCACTCATTTATCACCCCACTCTGTAGCTACTCCCTTCATCATCTTACCTAAAGCACCCCCTCCCACAAAACACCCCATGAGATTATACTATTCATATGCATCCTCAAGTCCTCTGCATTCTTGTTTTACTGCACCTGTCCCACAAATCTCCAGCAGAGAATTACTGTAAAACTCTACCTTTTCTGCTCTATTATTCCCTGATGCTGAGATCTGCTGGGGAAAAAAAAAAAAAAAAAAACCCTATACAAACATGCATTCATTTAATGCCTCTCAGTTGGAAATCTCCAAGCCATCCATTAATACCTTTACCCTGTTGTGTATGCCCTCTTCTCCCCTCACCAGCATGAACTTTCTATCCTTCCTTCCTGCCTTATACATGTAGTTCTCCCTTGAACTGGGCAGTGTAGAAGAGATTGAGGCCAGCAGGAAGGAATTCCCTTAATTCCCTAGTCTCCCTAGAATTTTTTTTTAAATTTATTTTTGAGAGCGAGTAGGGGAAGCACAGAGAGAGGTTGAGAGTGAGAGAGTGAGAGAGAGAGAGAGAGAGAGAGAGAGAGAGAGAGAGAGAGAGGCCAAGCAGGCCTCACGCTGTCACAGCACAACTTGGGGCTCAAATTCATAAACCAGGAGATCATGAACTGAGCTGGAATCAACAGTGAGATGCTTAACCGCCTAGACCACCCAGGCGCCCCTGCCTAGAATTTTTAAATAACCTTTTCCATATTTCCCTTTAATGTTAAAAAGGATGAGATGTCCATCTCCTTCTCCCTGTTATGTTTCTTCCTTCAAATGTACCTCTCCCTTCTCTCATCCAACATCTCTTTACTACAATTCATACTTGTTCCATACCTTTAATCTCTCCTAGCTTTGCAAACAACTTGTTAAATCTTTCACCATATCTTTTCACTTTAACCATGCAAATCCCTGATGCTGCATTCTTTCTACTTCCCTTCAAAAATTTCAAAAACAGCGTAACTCTACCATTAAATATTTTATTCTCCAACCTCCTTCATCTGCCCTTATCATCTGACTTTAAGTATCCTGGGGCAGGGGTGCCTGGCTGACTCAGCGGGTTAAGCCTATGACTTTGGCTCATGTCCTGACCTCACCATTAGTGAGTTCGAACCCCACATCAGGCTGTGTGCTGACAGCTCAAAGCCTGGAGCCTTTGGTTTCTCTGTCTCCCCCATCCCCCTCCTCTCTGCCCCTCCCCACTTGTGCTCTCTCAAAAATAAGCAAACTTAAAAAAAAAAAAAA